TGTGGGGTTGCTATCCCAGTGTCTTGTAGGGTCTGTCACAGGCACATTGTTCACTTGGTTCCAGATATAACCTCTGAACAATTCAGGGACATTTCAGTGCACAGACCTCAGAAGCCACAGAAGTGTTGGATCGGCTGCAGTTTCTCTCTCCTCTTTGGCACAAGGCTAGTCTAGTTCCCCCAAGAAAAGTTCTCTTACCCTCACTGATGTTCCTCTGATTCAGGGGCAGACAAGGCTGGATAAACTGTAGACCACCTGGGAGCCGGGGGATTGGAAGGAATCCAGAGTTTTGGTGTCAGAAGGGGCTGCCGCAGCTTAACTGTATTTCTAAACTCATCAATCTTTCCAAATCCTCATTTCCCAACCTGTGAAATAGGGATGGTGATGTCTGTGTAGTGGGATTTCTGCTGGGCTCTGTGAGATGCTCTCTGTCGACTTGCTGGGAAGGTGCTGAGTCCACTTGTGCCTTGGGTGTGGCCTCTGGGCAGGAGGTGTGCACAGACAGATGATGCTCTGGGGCCAAGAATGCAAGTAGATGTTGAGCTATCTGTGACCTTGGAGGGTGACCCTGAGACAGTCTGGGTCTCACCTCAATTTTAAGTGGGTGTAGACTTAGATGGAAAGTTGGCTACGTAAGGGGGGACCTTCCATGCAGAGGTTAAGGAGGGAGTTCCTTCGGGCGTTGTTGGGGGCGTGAGGTGGGCGTACCTTACGTGAAGCCTGTATTTCTGAACACTTCACATAAGCAACCTTTGTGTAATTCAACACTCTTTCTGACCTTTTACCAGCTCAGGTGCTGGGGCCTCCATGTGGTGATAGCATAGTTTACAGTTTCTTCCTGTGGGCCTCGAAAAATTTCCTCCTGGGAAATTATATAATTCTTGATTTAAAAAAAAAAGATTGGCAGTTGTTGCAATTTGCATGATTACTGATTTTGAGCATAGAGTTATTGTATCAAGGTGTATAATGCTAAATTGGATTCAGAGAATATTGGAATGAGAAAAGGAGAAAAATATACATTGAAGAAAAATAAGAAAAAAATAATGTAATAGTACATTCTCGAAATGAACTACTGCTAAATCAGTCTGCAGTCTGGCACGTGTGCACATGCACGTCCCAGTGTGCATGTGAATTGTATACTCCTTCTGCACTGATGTGGCCATCCTGACCTTGGACACCCTGTTTGCGGTCATGTTTCACGGACGTCTCTCCACATCAGCACCTCCATCAGCATCAGCAGTGCAGCACAGTTTCCTGTTGGGCGCATTTACCTATTTTAATAGTGGCACGCTGCTGAACTCTTAGACTGCTGTTTGTGTTTTGGTGTTACATAGATGCCCGTGCACTGACAGCCCTTGTCCTTAGGATTCATTCCTTGAATGCTTCACACCTTCTAGATGCTTTTCATGCACACTGACATGTTGTCCCCTGAAATACTGAATTAGTTTACATTTCACCAATACTTAAAAAAAAACTTTTTTGGCATTTTTATTTTTGCTCTTCCAATGGGCAAATAATAATCTTATTCTGCATTCGTCTGGTCTGAGCCATGGAAGGTTTTGGGTCAGGGCATCAGGAGAATCAGTTCAGAGGCTTCCGCAGCCTCACTGGCATGGGGGACAGGGCAGGGAGGGGTGGGCTCAGATGTTGGGGGTGGGCTGGACGGGGAGGCTGAAGGACTTCCCCCGGCCTGTTTTGTCCAGTGGGGGCAGCGGTCCTCTGGTGCCAGGCAGGGTTCCAAGCCATTGCTGGGAATTATCTCAGTGATCCCTTGGACAGCTCTGTGACTGGTCCTCTTACTGTCCTCACTTCCAGAGGGAGGGACAAAGGACTGCAGTAGCCAGGGGACTCGCCAGGGAAAAGCAGTGGGGAGTGTGGACACCGGACATGGCCCAGTCCTGGCTCTCAGGCTGAGCTCCAAGCACCTTGCTGTATGGCTGGAGAGCGGGCACTCCGATTCCTGCCTCTGTTTTGGGAGGTCAGGATGATTTTCTCTGTGGTTTTGGAGCTGGCATTAGGCTTTATGTTGGTATGATTTCAGGAAGATGTCTGTCTTGTTGATGCCCTGAAATAGCCACAGGTTTTATTTTCTGTCTCTTCGTTTCAAGCTGAGGGAGCCCCGGTGAGTGGCGCCTGCCCAAGTGGGACACCAGGTATAAGTTGGGGATGTCTGTGGGCCAGTGCTGATGGGGATCGAGAGGGAGTACAGAGGACTCGGGCCCCCGAGGCAGGCTCTGGGCATCCTGCATGCGCTGTCACCTGGTGTCACTTGATTTGGGGCGGGAAGAGCATTCAAGGGTGCCTTGTAGGGGATGTCTGGGTTTTTCCTCCCACCTCTGCCACCGTGACAAGACCTTTCNGTGCCTTGTAGGGGATGTCTGGGTTTTTCCTCCCACCTCTGCCACCGTGACAAGACCTTTCTCTTCTTTGAGTCCCAGCGTCCTCCCTTCTGAAATACTGGAGATCATTCTTACACATAAAGTTACTGGGCGCAGCTCATGAAAGTGCATATCCGTGTAACCTTAATACAGAACATGACTCTTACACTCATGTGTGCACGCACACAGTGCACATGGAGGGGTTGTGGAAAGTAATTATAACCTGCGGCTTTTCTCCTGGTTCGATAGGCTTTCAAAGAAAGAGTAGATATAATTGAGAATTCCCAAGTCATTCATTAATTGTTTCTTTCAAGTAAACAACAACAGTAATGATGGCAATAGCGGCTGGCACTGGTTGGGTGCCTCCTGTGTACAAGCACAGGGTGCTTGATATATGCCGCCTGTCTGCCCACCTTGCCCAGGCTGGAGGGTGGTCCTGCCTACCTGTGGAAGCCCATCCTGCTGCTGGTTCATGGAATTGTGTCATTTGAGACCTGAAATACACTGATATGATGGAGACCCTTCCCAGGTGATGAGATGAGCCTGTAGTTACAGTGTTTGACTTACCATTTCTGGTTAAACCAAGGGACAGCTGCCATTGTTCCTTCTTGGTGGCGTACATGCTGTGTGGACTGGCAGGGAAGGAGACTCCACGTGACCCATGTTTTGTTATTTGCAGGCTCCGGGGAGTTCTGCACCGTCCGCCTCTCTCTGCTGTGATAAGCCGTCACGGTGAGTGTCCCTGTGGGGAGTGCTTTCCTGTTCTCTGGCCGTGGGTCACATCTCCATGGAGGAAATGTGGTCATGGTGTTATTTTATTCTGTAGTAATCTTAATTTCTTTTTTGATTGGAAAAATTAATAATCAAAGATGACGCATAGCAGGTTTTATGTTTGTTTTCTGAATGTGATCTCCGGCATTAGAAGCCCAGATGTGGAAACACTTGTGATTGTCTTTCAGTAAATCATTACATTGCCATGGCCTGATTGTCCAAGTGTCCAAGTGTAACTCTTTGTGGAGGGTTCCAGAATTGATCAGCATGGGCTGAAGCAAGGGCAGGTGCCGGGAGGGATGGCCCTCAGCCAGTGCTTCACACACCGAAATCTTCTGGAGGGTCCCTCTCCGTGGATCGTGGTGGCCGTAGGAGGCACATCATTATCTTTTTAAATCAGTGTTTAAAAAATTGGATTTGATTTTTTAAAATAATCAAAACTCTTTTGCATCCATGTCTGATGAATAAGTAGAGGGAAAAAACCTCGTGAATTGGAACTGGATTTGAACAAATCAACTGTGAAACATAAATTCATGATATTGGATATTTGATGTTATTTCTTTTTGAGGTGTGATAGTGGCATTGTAGATATTTTTGTAAGAAAGTGTCTTTATCTTTTAGAAATCAATGCTACAGCGTTTATAAATGAAATGATGTAATATCAGGGATTGCTCCAGAGCCATCAAAGTGCTAGAGGAGATCACGGGGGTATTGATGGGAAGGGTTGGCCTCATGTGTCGGTAATTATAAAATTGGGTGTTGGGTACATGGAAGTTTGCTAATCCATTTTTTATGTCTTTGAATTTTTCCAAAATTAAAAAAGGAAAAAAAGAGAGAAACACATATAATAGGAATAGTAAAAAACAAAATCCAAACTAGTGGCAGCTCTTTCGATGGACTGAAACCACACATCTGTGAACCTGCTTTCCCTCCTCAGGTTTCACCTCCACCCCACGCGGGGTCACCACTTGGGTCTGACCCCGTCCCCTCTACCCTGGTCTCTTTCCCATTTCTTCCTGGATACCACTGGGACTCGGGGCCTCCCTGGGGGCCTGCATGAATGTGAAGAAGCTGCGGTGTGTGGAGACCCTTGTCTCCAGAGTCACCTGGCTCCTGGCCCCCACAGCCAGCCCTCCCCAGGTCCTCCTCCTGCTTGCTGATGTGACATGGCCGTTTGTGCCCTTCTACGTCCTCCATGTGTCTCTGTCTCACACCTGTGTGCCTGGCCCCTGTCAGGGCACCTGCCCTGCATCCTGCAAGCACAGGGTTTGCCCTGTGTGGCCCTAGCAGATGCCCGCCCAGAGCCCCTCTGATGGAAGCTGGCTGAGCTCCTCCTCCACAGATGAAACGCCGCTTTGATTGTGCAGCTGCTGAGGTTTCTCCCCAGCTCCTCCCCTCTCCAGGGTCTGGTCCAGCCTCCTGCATGGACCTACAGGGTCCTGCATGATCTGGCCCAGCCACCTCACCAGCCCCTGGCCACGCGTGCCCGGGATGCTCCACGCAGACATGATGAGGTGTGGGCTGATGTTCAGCAGCCTTGACCTCTGCTCACACCATCTCACTGCCCAAAATGCACTTCCTCCCAGCTGCCTCGTGCTGACCTTGACACTTTGGAGCAGAGTTGAGGCTCCTGCTCCATTGGAACCGCAAGGCACCTGTCCTGCCAACGCCTCGGCCCTGCATGCTTTCTGTCCTAGCCCCTGCGTCACTGCTTTGAAATTTTTTTCTGTTTATTCTCTGCTAGTAGCTTCTATTGACCCACTCATGCCTTATATAGAAATGCAGATCTCATGACCTCCTGAGATTGGAAAACAGCATAGAAAATGTACCATAGCCAGATTCCCAGGCTTCCCACACCCAGGGTTCGTGTGGGAAAACCGAGAGGGTGAACGTCCATCCTCTTTCCCTGTTCCTGATTCTTCAGCCCCATTTGCTGACCAGCCTCGTCCCCCTCTCTCGCAGGTCCACAGTCCTGAGCCCCACCATGGAGGACGTCCACGAGCTTGACCTCACCTACATCACTGAGCGCATCATCGCCGTGTCCTTCCCTGCCAGCTGCTCCGAGGAGTCCTACCTGCACAACCTGCAGGAGGTCACACGCATGCTCAAGTCCAAGCACGGGGACAACTACCTGGTGAGTGGCCGGGCTTGCCGTGGCACCACGGTGTGGCTTAGGGGGGCCTGTGGGCACGTGCCCTGCAGGGGCCACTGTGGGAGGCCCAAGTGAGGAAGCTCAGGAGCGTAGCCTCACAGCGAAGGGCGGTGCTGGCCCTGGGCTCTGGCCCTCAGCTGCCTCACCTGGGGAAGAGAGTTGTGCATCTAGTAGCTGTCATGGACACACTACAGCTGACCAGGTCCACTGCCTCTGTCCTGCACAGAGGGTGAGGTCACTCATCAATGAGGCCTGCTCCCCAGTGCCTCAGGACATCACCCTGGCCAGCCCCCCGCTGGTCCCATGTGGCATCCCTGGAATTAAAAAGCAAACTGTGGCTCTCTCCTGAATGGTAAGTTAGGAAGAGAAAGGGTGGGTGTCCAAGGAACTGGGGAGTGCCCTGGGGACAGGTACATAGCTTGATTTCAAAACGCATGTGAACCCCCACTGGTCCCATGTGGCATCCCTGGAATTAAAAAGCAAACTGTGGCTCTCTCCTGAATGGTAAGTTAGGAAGAGAAAGGGTGGGCGTCCAAGGAACTGGGGAGTGCCCTGGGGACAGGTACATAGCTTGATTTCAAAACGCATGTGAGGTTGGTGGAAAAGCCCACATGAGAGGAAGGATATAAGAGAACAGCCTCTCACCGATTCTGCTCCTCCGAGTGGCCTCTGTTTTCTGTTCCCAGGGCTGCTGGCCCACGTGGAGTCTCTTCTTCCCTCTGCTGCTATGATCCCTATTTAGCTTAACTTGCAACACACAGCACCTTCTCTCTGCTTGCCAGGCGAAGCCCCCTTGTCTACAGAAAGCTCATCTGCACCGTGAGCCAGCAGGGCGGTTATTGTCATGCTGATCAGTGTTGCCCATGACTAGACATGGGCATGGAGAGGTTGACACATGTGGCAGAGTGGGAGGTGGCCTCTGCCTGGCTTCACAGCGGTCCTGGCCCAGCTGCCCATGACAGCCAGAACAGTCTCCTCTGCTGGGACCTGTTGTGACCCCTCCCAGCTCCTCCATCCACTAAGGCTCCTGCCCCTTTCTCCCCCTGAAGCCCATCCTAGCTGTGTCCTGTCATGGACAGGGAAGTGGTGCCCAGGTCCTGCCTGGTGGACACACTTCTCATCAGGGGCTCCATGCCTCCAGGGTTCCTCCTTTATCACAGAGGTGGTCTGCTCTGCAGGGCCATGGCTCCTTCCTTTGGAAGCTGCACCCCAAAGGAGGCTGGTGTGCACCTCCCGAGCCCCGTCTCCAGGTGTCACCCCCTCCTCCCCAGGCCCACCTTCCCCAAAGAGACTGTGCAGAGAGCCCAGGGCCCTGGATGGCACCACGATGGGTTTGGGGATAGTTCTTCCCCAGAGGCCGTGTGGGGTCTTGTCGAGCTCCCTCCTACAAATTGGCTAGGGTGGAGTTCCTCTACTTGTTTGGGGACAATCACCTTTTTGCAAAACCTGAAGAAAGATTCATGTGTGGGTCTTGTACAGACCCTAAGTTAAGGACCACAGGGCAGGCTCATCTGTTTCTCTGTATACATCCAACGATTAGATATGAAAATAAAACAGCCCCCTGACCCATAACCCATTTATGGAGGACGTCCTGGGTGATATGTCTCGTCACGCCACAGTGTCCTGGGCCTCTGAGGAAGGGCAGCTGCATCCCTGGTCATTCTAACAGGGCTGGGGTGGGGCCATGTTGAGTAGGCCCAGGAGGCAGCTTGTGTGGGGGGCAAAAGCAGCCACTCCCGTTATAGGCAGGACTTGCTGGTGACCTGGACGAGCCCCCTCCCCTCCACTTCTCTCACGCCCTGTGTCTGAAGTGAGAAGGACATTTAGTTAACCCTTAATGCCCCTTGCTGCTGGAATATTGTCTTTTTTCAGTTTTGCTTTTCTTGCATATTTAGTGAGGTTCCACAAACGGCTCTGATTTTTCAGTGAACTTGGGATGAGGCTCTCACGTGGCCGTGAACTCAGACCTTCCAGGCCTGGGCCAGCCACACCACAGAGGAGGCACTGCCCCCCTCACCATATGCCTCCTTTCTCCTGAGTAAGCTCATGTTTTCCCGGGGCAAGACTGGGAAGGTTATGGTACATAAAGGTGTATGTATGGGTATATATATTCTATGTGTTAGAATATTTTACAGCCATTAGAATAAAAAAATAGTGACATGGTAAATTGCCCGTTCTAATGCTAGCTAACAAGAGTAGAATAGAGAATGTAAGTAGAATTTATGTATAAGGACTACATGTGCTGTCCTTATTTATTTGGTTTTCGTTCTGTGACAACGTGTACATATCTGTCCATTTCAACCTTCTACCGTCCCCGACACCTTGAAGGTAAACAGCGTGTGAGAGTGAATGCAATGAGTTTTCTCCTTTCACCTCTGAGCTCGAAAATTTGTCTAAAAGCCTTTTCCCCTCCCCTTTGTAGGTATTAAACCTTTCGGAAAAGAGATATGACCTTACGAAGCTTAACCCAAAGGTACGGATGTTATCGCTTTGTATTCTGAGTTTTGTAAAATGTAAACGATGCTTACTCTTCTTGTGCAAAAACAGTTTGCTACCAGTCTCTGTGGAATACGACTTGATAAGGGGTATTGGGAACTGTTTATATGCATTAGCTTTTGGTTTTTTTTTTTAATTAAAAAACTTTTTTTAGTTTGAAATAATTACAGATTCAGAGGAAGTTACGAAAATCATACAGAGAGATCGCACATACCCCTCCCCCAGCCTCCCCCAGCAGTAGCATCTTGCAAAACTAATGATGACATTTCAACGCCAGGAAGTTGACATTGGTATGGCCCATAGACCTCATTCACGTTTCTCTGGTTTTGCATGCACTCACACGTGCGTGTGTTTCTGTACCACTTCATCATGTGTGTAGATTTGTATAATCAGCACAACCAAGATATTAGACACTTTATCACCACAAATATCTCCTTCCTGCCACCTCGTTATGGTCACCATCCCCTCCATCCATGATTGTTTTCAATAGCAAAAATTTGGGAAAAATTTTAAGACTGTAAGCATAAGTTATGGTACATGTATATAGATATATGTATATGTATTCTATATGTTAGAGTAATTTGCAGCCATTGGAATAAAAAAATAGTAACGTAGTAAATTTCCTGTTTTAATGCTAATTAACTAAAGTAGATCACAGTATAATAGTATCTCAGTTATGCTAAATGAACATAGAAAAAGAGACTAAGAGATTCATCAAACTATTCCAGTGGTCCTCTCTGAGTGAGGGAAGAGATAGGTGACTTTTTCTATTTCCTGGCAGTTTTCTGAAATTTCCAACCATTTTATACTCTTTCTACTGCTCTTATAATAAGGCAGAACTGTGTCCCCTCCACCCTTAATGAGAGGAACTAAAGGGAAAAGCAACACCACCATGTGGCTGTCATGGGCTCTGGGACTGGAGCGTGCTTCAGGACGCTCTGAGCGACATTCTTCTGCACAGACCCACAGCACTTGGTGGTGATTCTCTGTTCATGCACCAAACTGACATCAGGTTTGCGGTTGCATCCTTCTTCATGGGCACATTCCTGTCTTTGGAGGAGCATGTCATCTCGAGCGTGTGGGGTAGGCCTTTGTCTGCACAGCACGTGGGAATGGCCAGCTGCATTCCCCAAACTGCGAGTTTTAGCCTGAGCGGAGGGATTTTGGCAATGGCATGAGCCAAGAACTCCTGTCTCCGATCTCACAGGGCCTTGGCCCCTCCTCGCACAACCCTGCACTATCAGTGATTCCCGAAAGGCCTTTCTGGAATTGTCACTCCAGGTGCAAAAGAGCAGATAAGACCCTGGAAGAAGAGGTCCTCAGATGGGCAGCATAACACTTTATTTACCTCTTTCCAGTAAAGGAACCTGGCCGTAATGCTCAGTGAGTCTTAGAAAGGGACCATGCAGCATGGTTCTTTACTCCCACATGAAGGGCACTGGCAAATGATGGAAGTCATCTCAAGATGGCTCCAGTAGGCTTCAGGAAATGGAAGCTGAGGATGCTCCCCTCTCTCGTTGCAGATTATGGACGTGGGCTGGCCGGAGCTGCATGCACCACCTCTGGATAAGATGTGCACCATATGTAAGGCACAGGAGTCCTGGCTGAACAGCGACCCCCAGCACGTGGTCGTCATCCACTGCAGGGTGAGTGTGCCGCCTGCCGTGTGCTCTGGGGGTCCCACGGGGCTTCGGTGTGTTGAGGAAGTGAGGAGACCACTGCTGGCCACATGGGCGAGCTGATGAGCCTCATTTCCACACTAATTTTCAGCCAGTGTGACACACTGTCCATGGGTTTGTGGTTAGGCTTTCCTACTAGTTCTTAAAAATATGTTACTAAACCTACAGAGTTTTGCTTTAAAATTCATGAGATTGAAGTCCTGGAATGTGTAGCTGGAAATTTTGAAACTAGGGAAGGATGGTAAGGAGAGCAAATCTTTTCATTTTTATTCATTTTTGTTTTTCATGGAAAGCCCTTTGGTAAAGAGAAGCACTTTTCAGAGGGACAGCATCAGGCGTTCTGTGCCGTCTGAGTTATGGTCATTTAATTTAATTTCATTGATGGACTTATGGTGCTGGCAGGATGCAGTTGCAATAAACACGTGGTCCTTTCCTGTGCAGCTGGCACTGTGGACATGCAGCAGGTGCACCTCACAGGTGGCGGCCTGGCTGTGGGGTGGGCGTGGCAGCTCAGGCACGCGTGTGAGCGGGCATCCTTCTGGCTGCCACAGGCCTTTTACGCTTCCTCCTCCAGCTCCCGGGGTCTTTCCTCCTGTTTCTCATCTGCCTAGTGCTACCCCTGGTTCCTCACATTTGATTGGTGTTGAAAGGGGCTGGACTGAAAGCTGATTCACTTTACCCCTCCCAAAAGACACTTGTTCAATAAGTGGAAGCTCCTACCCCAGACACTTTGCGGTAGGGGGATCCTTTGAGCGGGGAAGTTGCCAGTAGGGTGGGGGTACCATCCGTGAAGAGGCAGCTCCCTATTGTATATGTTCTGCACGGCATTCTGAGGGCCATCAGATCATCTAGGAAGTGTTGACATTTCCATCTTGAAATGTTTTTTTTTTCTTTCCAGACTGTTTTTCATGTTCAAAAAGACTGCCGCGGGTCAGCTTGCTCATGATGTGGCCAGTGCCATGCTCGCGTCAGGCACAGCCATCAGGGCACGCAGATGTCATTTGCTTCCCACATCTGACTTAATCACATTTCCCCCCAAACAGATAACACTTTCTTATCAAATTGTGTACTTTAACCTGAACTTCTTCAAGTGTTGCATTAAATTGAGGAGCCTTTGCCCATATTTATGTTTTAGTGCAAACTAAGAGGGAGAGAGAAAAAGAGAGAGACTTTTTAAAAAATATACTTCTTGTCAATTAAAATGAACTATGTTTTCAGGCTTGTCTTGACGTTGAGGCAGTGAGCCTAATAGTGATGGGTTGTGATTGCCCAAGATCACTTAAGGCATGGAGAGAGAAAAAGAGAGAGACTTTTTAAAAAATATACTTCTTGTCAATTAAAATGAACTATGTTTTCAGGCTTGTCTTGATGACGTTGAGGCAGTGAGCCTAATAGTGATGGGTTGTGATTGCCCAAGATCACTTAAGGCATTTTAAGTGGCATTCCTAACCCAAGGGCCTTCACAGGGCCTCCCTGGACTAGCGGCAGCACCTGCCCCTGCGAGAATGCAGGTCCCAGGGCTTACCCCGACCTGCTGCATCCTTAGAGGACACTGGTGTGGCTGGACTTCAGAGGCACCACTCTTAGCCGTTTATTCCATCTGAGTTGTTCACTCCAATTTTTTAATGAAATTGAAATAAATTATATTATTTAAAACATGTGGGTACCCAGTGACGAAATCACCTAGAGATCTTTAAAATGCGTCTTTTCCTGAGCAACCCTGGGCTCTCTGGACACATTGCATTAGGGGGATTCATTGGGAACATGTGAAACTTCCCAAAATTGATCTGTTCACCACTTGCACTGTTCTGATGTTGTGTAAACCATTTCTGAAACACTTAGAAAACATGCCAGGAGGGATAAGCCCTCTTTTAATTTAAAATTGCTGATGCCGATGTTAACAGAAGTCTATTGCTGCTGGGGCAGAATCGCTGACATTTGCTGAAATCCGCCTGCTTTGCAGAATGTGCAGTTCCTTGCACGAGTGCCGGGAGTTACTGACATAGCTGGCCTGTGTCTGCCCAGTCGGGCCGGTGGTGTTCCCCCTTCTCCTGCCTGATGCAAAGGCTCTTGTTTGCAGGGCGCATCCACACTTCCCTCACCTATCCACGCCTGGTTATTGATTGAGCAGAAATAGCCTGTGATTCTTTTGGAAGATTTTATCCACTCCACACTCCTTGTTTTTTAGTTCATGGTGCACAATATCCACAGCAAATTGTGTAGTCAGCAATGCTATGATTTTCATTAAGAGCAGACTAAACTGTTCAAGTCCAAAAGAATGTTGCTTGCACTGAAAGGCCTCAGCCCACAAGCTGACTCAGCCCACCACCTGTTTTCCTGTGACCTGTGAGCTGAGTGTTCCATGAAGCTTAAATTTCAGTCCGTACATGAAGTTTCATTGGAACACGACCACCCCCATTTGTTTAAGTAGGTCCACAGCCACTTGCACCCACTCTGCAGCTGTAGGTTTGGGTAGTTGCAGCAAGACCTTGTGGTCAGCAAAGCCTAAAATACTTAATATCTGGCTCTTGTAAGAAAAGACTTCGTATCAGGATAATGCTGGCCTTGCAAAATGAGTTTGGAAGTGCTCCTCTTCAATTTTTTGGAAGAGTTTGAGAAGCATTGGTATTAGTTCTTATTTAAATGTTTGATGGAATTCACCTGTGAAGCCATCAGGTCCTGGGCTTTTCTTTGATGGGAAACTTTTTATTACTGATTCAATCTCCTTACTCATCACTGGTCTGTTCAGACATTCTGTTTCTTCATGATTCAGTCTTGGTAGGTTGTATGTGTCCAGAAATTTATCTGTTTCTTTTAGGTTATCCAATTCATTGGCATATAATTGTTCATAGTAGTCTCTTATAATCCTTTGTTTTTCTGTGGCATCAGTTGTAATGTCCCTTCTTTCATTTCTGATTTAATCTATTTGAATCTTTTCTCTTTTTTTCTTGGTTAGTTTAGCTAAAGGTTTGTCAATTTTGTTTATCTTTTCAAAAAACCAACTCTTAGTTTTGTTGATTTATTTTTTCTATTGTTTTCTAATGTCTATTATATTTTTTTCTGCTCTCATCTTTATCTCTTTCCTTCTGCTGTGGGCTTAGTTTGTCTTTCTTTTTCTAGTTCCTTGAGGTGTAACATTAGGTTTTTTATTTTAGACTTTTCTTCTTCTTTGATGTAAGCATTTATTGCTATAAACTTCCCTCTTAGAACTGCTTTTGCTCCATCCCAAAAGGCTTGGTATGTTGTGTTTCCGTTTTCATTTGTCCCAAGATATTTCTAAATTTCCCTTTTAATTTCCTCTTGTGTAGTCAGCAATGAAACTGAACATTGGTTGTTCAGGAGCATGCCATTTAATTTCCACATATTTGTGAATTTTCCAAGAATCCTCCTGTCATTGATTTATAGTTTCCTACCATTTGTGATTGGAAAAGATATTTGATATGATTTCAGTCATCTTAAATCTGTTCAGACTTGTTTTGTGGCCTAACATTTGATCTGTCCTCTAGAATATTCTGTGTGCATGAGAAGAATGTGTATTCTATTGCTGTTGGATGGAATGTTTTGTGTCCTCTGTTAGTTCCATTTGGTCTAAAGTGTAATTTGAGTCCAATGTGTCCTTATGACTTTCTGTCTGTGTGATCTACATGTTGTTGAAGGTTGGGTATTGAAGTCCCCTACTGTTATTGTGTTGCTATCTCTCCTTTCAGATCTCTTCATATTTGCTTTATATGTCCATAACTGGTGCCACAAAAACGATTGATATCAATGGTGAATACTACTGCATGTGTGCCTATTTTGGCTTGAGGTGGTATTATTTCCTTGCAGGTGAGTTTCTCTCTTAAAACAAATATAGGTTTATGCAAGAAGCATACTAGTAGCTGCACTGCTGATAACTGCATGTGCCAGGATTCAGCTACAAAGGATTTATCAAATGCCTACATCTATGAGGCATGTTCTTGACTTTCACCAGTCGAAGAGAAGACTACCCCTGGGTGACATTCACATCTGATTGTGGGTTTATTGGAATTTTGAGTTGAATTTGCTCAGTTCTTTTCCAAGAATAGAGTTAGGGAGTTGCATGTTGGTAGCCATGCCAGTTTGGCTTTATGTTATTCTGATCAGGGGTTGGCAAACTCTTCTAAAGAGAGCCAGATAGTAATTTAGGCTCTGTGGGCTGCATGGTCTTGTTGCAACTACTCAAATGCGCATCTGCAGCATGGGTGGAATCAGCTGTGGATGTATGTAAACAAATGGGGTGGCTGTGTCCTGATCAGACTTTAGGTATGGACACTGAAATCTGAACTTTGTAGAATTTTCACATGCCACAGAATCTTATTCTGTTTTGACTTTTCATCAATGGTCTAAAAATGTAAAAACGACTCTTAGCTCACAGGTTGTAGGAAAACAGGTGATGGGCAGAGTCAGCTCGTGGGCTGAGCTTTGCTGACCGCTGTTGCAGGTCATGGTGGTATATCCTGGAAGGCACCATCTGTGGTTCCGAGTGAGGCTGGCCTGTCGCGTGGCCTCCCCTTCTCCTGCTGTTGGTGGTGTTGGCCTATGGTCTGACTGTGCATGTCTGTGGCATGGTTTGAGCAATTCCTCTTCTACAACACCTGCCTGGGACAGTGGTCCCTGTGTGTGTAAGGAGGGAGGGTTGCATGGGCGGCACTGGAGTGGCGATGCTGCCAGCATGCTGGAGCCTGCTGTCCTGGGCTCTGAGCTGTGTGTGCAGCCCTGATCTCTGTCAGCCAGTGAGTGGGCACACGCTTCTATTTCACCTGGGTGGCTAAGTTGTGCTGATCCCTGCAGAGCCTGGCATGGTCTCTCCCATCCGAATTGGGAAGTGAAATGACTGGCTGCTGCTGTGTGATCTGCCCTTGAGGCTTCCGCGGGCACCCCAGTCGGCACCTGCTCTTGCTGTGGGCACCCTGTGTGCAGCTTCCCTGCTGCGGAGGCTGCAGTAGCACTGGGTGCTGACCCCCCATGACAGGGAGGCAGAGGAGGCAGTGCTGGCCCAACCTCCAGAGCAAGCTCTGTCCTTCTGTCTGTGGGGGAGCATTCTCCTGCTCTAATTATGTCTCTGCTATGGGATTCCAGAGAAAATTAGCTTCTCTTCTGTCTCCTGCAGGGTGGAAAAGGACGCATAGGAGTGGTCATATCATCCTACATGCACTTCACCAACGTCTCAGCCAGGTAGGATGAAACTTGCTGCTTCAGGGTGCTGGAAGCAGAGACTGGGTGGGGTGGGAAGTGGTCAGCCTGGTGGCTGCCCTGGAGGCCAAGGGTTTGGCTGGCCCAAGTCCCTGTCCCCCAGTGCCTGGGTGGTCGGTGCCTGGAAACACAGCTTCCAGTTAAGGGTTTACTCTTGTGAAAAAGACATTTTCCTGGTTAATACGATTGATACTAATTACTTCAATGGAGGCATTAAAAAGTAAGTGAGCTCACTGTCATTCTCTAATAAAAATAATAGAGGGAGGTAGCACTTATTAAAAGCAAGAACAGAGTTTTTGCTAGATCATAAACAGTAATGATAGCAGCAGCCAGCGGGTTTTGCTTGCACTGGGCCTCTGGGAAGTGCACTGAATGTTTTCCTTTTCTCCTGGAATCCTTCCCACTAACCATGAGACAGTTATTATTATTCTCATTGTACAGATGAGGAAACTGAGGCTCAGAGGAGCTAGACAGTGTGCTCACAATCTCAGGGCCTGTGAGTGGGGAGCCTGTGAGAGGGCTGAGGACCTCGGCCACACGCCTGGCACCGGCAGCCCTGGTGGACCCTGATACGCCTCCCGGAGCACAGATCTGCACTCACGCTGAAGCTGAGTTTAGAAAATACCATTCTTTATGGTTCCACATTTGCATTCCCCCTGTCTCTCAATGGCCACTTTGTGAAGCCTGAGCTACTCCCTTCTGTGGAAATATAAGCCTATTCATATTAGCCGATAAATCTTTTCCTTTCTAGCATTAAGGAGTGAAATTTGATTTTCCAAATATTTTCTCTGGAAACAAATTGGGGTGCTGGTGCCTGCCAGGGAGGAAACCCAACCCTCCAGTGAAAATCAGATCCCCTCTTGGTGAGAATAAGCATTTGTGTGTGTGCCAGACAAATCAAGACTCCTGGTCACAGTGAAGCCCTCCATTAAACCGAAGACATTTGGTCAGAGACCGAATTTAGCCTGGCAGATTCTGGACAGAGACCTCTCTGAGTATTTCTGTCCCCAACAACACAGTTCTGTTTCAAGCGAAGTTCCATGTGCTGTGAACAGTCCTGGCATTTTGGGGAAGGACAGAGAGAAAGGGTTTTATTCATTTAAAGCACATCTCTGACACCCTTTCTAAAAATCCCACTTTCTTCAAATAGTCAATACATATCTCAGCAGCATGTGTCAGGAAGTTTAACCGAATCTCTCTAAGCTTCAGTGTCATTACCTGGAAAGTGGAAAGAATAGTTGTACCTCCCAGAGTGTTTCATTACACGTAAAGCTGTTAGAACAGTCTCGGTGCTCAGATATTAGCTGTTGTTATTAATGCTGCTGTTTTAGTAGAGTAACAGCATTAAGTGATTTTCACTTGATGAGCTGACACCACACACTCTTTGTAACCTGCTTGCTGTGTTAATGCTGTTTCACGCACAGGCTCCCCTGCCCCGCTGCAGTGCCTGTGCAGCCGTCTGTCCCACAGATGTAATGTTATGTATTTAAGCATTTGTGGATTTTGCCTGTCCAGTTTGCTTCCAGTTTGGGCTTAGAATTTAGGTTGCTTCTGATTATTTTCTGCTCTGAACCTGGCCATGATGAACACATTCTTGTAGATACATCTTTGATCATTTCTATGATGTTCCATCTTAGATTATACTCCAGAAATAAACATAGGGAGCACACATGGTTAAGGCCTTTATCACAAACTGTGCAAACAAAACACGACAGAAACTTCACGAAGTAACAAGAACATTCTTGTATCAACGCCATAAAAGTAGAAGTTCATAAAGACAAAGCCAGCACTCACATTATTAGTACTAGTACTAGTAATAACACCGAGCATGAACACTGGACAAACTACTAACAGCATTTAATAAAACAAGAGAATTCCAGAAAAGGGAATACTTAAAATCAATGACTGGATATGTAGCTACGCTTTTCAACTTGAAAGACATGTCCACTCAATATGTGAAATATTCAGCACTCAGTGGACACCCCTGCCAGCCCAGCTCCTTGTTCAAACAAATACAGGCAGTAGCTGGCCACTGCAGAGCGTTCGGTGAGAGTCAAATCACATTACACTGACTTTTGAATATTTTCCTTTGTCTTTCTGCCTATCTCTCTGAATATTTTTTTTCTGAGTCTTTGTGGTGTTCACAATTCCTGTATATATTATTTTTATAGAGGGTACGTATACATTTTTTCTAAGGCATTTTTTTCTGGGTCTTTATGGTGTTCACAATTCCTGTATATATTATTTTTATAGAGGGTACGTATACATTTTTTCTAAGGAAAGTGCCTCAAGATTTAAGGAAGCTGTTGGCTTACACAAGTCTGCATGGTTAAGACTTACCACACCCACGTTCCATGATTTATGCTGAAGTCAGATCAGGAAAACCCATGAATGCCCCGCTATGGGGTTTCCAGAAAGTTCTGTCAAATACTACACGTGGGCATTTTGGAGTTGGAGTTTAATGTCAGAAGCAATGTAGGAAAGCAGGGTTACTTTCAGTGGAAGTTACTTCAAAAACATAATTATGTAGCCCTGAGTCTCCGGCACCTTTCCTCGGGGTCTGCAGCCTCCTGGGCCCTTCTCAAGCCCGTTCCTAGAAGTGATCTACTGACCAGGGCACTGGGGCTGTCCCATGTGTGTCCCAAACATGCCTCTTGGGACTGGCGTGTGCACCAGCTGATGTGCTCGCTCCTCATGTCCTCATGGTCCTGAGACTTGGGTCTGCTCTCTTGTCCCACATAAACTGGCCTCCTCTGTTTGGGAGCTAGTGGAGCAACAGGACAGTTATGCACATGTAAGTTCATAACGTAGATAAGGTGCTGGTATTTCAGACGAGAGTTCAAACCCTACAGGAGTGGCTCCCACTTGGAACTGAGCATATTCCTGCAGGGAAGTGAAACCTTCTTAGAGATGGTTGGAGATTGTGCCCAGGTGCAGTAGAAGAACGAAGCTCCTTGTGGGAGCTGGTCGTCTCAGCAGCCACAGGACACATGTCCTGGGTCACCCTGCCATGTGGTGGAGGTCACTGAGTTGACGCTCTGTCTCACTCTTTCTCTCTCTGCTTGCCCAGTGCTGACCAGGCCCTCGACAGATTTGCCATGAAGAAGTTTTATGATGACAAAGTTTCAGCATTAATGCAGCCTTCCCAGAAGCGGTATGTATGTAGCCCCATAGCCAGAATGAACATGAGATTTTACACTTAAAAAGGACGGGAGAGACACCTCTTCTGATGCATTTCCCCCACCCCCCATGGTGCTCTTGGGTCCTGCCAAAGACTATGAAGGCGGCACTTGTTGATGGGCAGAGGGCAAGAGATGAGCATCCTGCGTGTCTTGAGCAAGCCGGCTCCCAGAGAGGTAGACCCAGGACTCTCCCCTCCTAACCCGCAGCAGCTGGGGTCTTCCTCTCGTGCAGCCAGTGAGTTTTGGTTTCCATCATTATGTTGGAGCTTGTTTCTATCTGCTACACCAGGGGTCAGTGAACTTTTTCTGTAATGGGCTAGAGAATGGATATTTTAGGTTTTGTGGGTCACATGGTCTCTATCACAGCTGTTTTAATAGGAAAGCAGCCACAGGCAATGTGGAAATCAGTGAGTGCGGCCAGGTTGCAATAAAACTTTATCAACACAAACAGTTCCAGGTCTAAGTGGGCCAGCTCCTGTACTAGCCTGTCAGCTTCCTGGGGCCAGTGCATGTTTCTCTTTCCTGTTGCCCACCTTGCCCTTCTCTGCTGCTCAGTGGGACACCTGAAAGGTGCTCAGTACGTGTTGGGGAGCGGCCACGGGGGAGCAGAACTTTGTCCTGTTGCTGCCTGCTCCACCAGGCTGAGGCCAGGAGGCCTTGAGCAGGGTCGGGTGGGATGCAGTGAGAAGAGCCACATCCACCCACCTTGCAAACACGTGAGCCAAGCACAGGACTCCCATGCATTTCTAGTTTACACCTAATAGCAATGAACTTGCCCACTAATGGCCAAGGCACTCACCAGGCGGTGTTCCATCTGGGAGCAGGACAGTTGTACACCTGGCCAGTTGTACGGAGTCTCAGTCCCTCACATCTGTTTTCTCTCGTGTAATCGAGGGCTGCATCGGCAGGTGAGGGGTGGGTGGAAAGGGACTCCAGGGACTTCCAGAGGCACCTTCTTCTCTTGTCTCAGGTATTTGCAGACTGGCATGCGTTGCAGGATGTGGGCTGGGATGTGGGCTGTGGGTCAGCCTGGCCATGCCCTGCTCTGGGCATCAGGCCCCACAGGGGATGTCAGGTGCTTGCAGAAACAGAAACCCAGCATTTTATGAGTATTATAGCTAAACAACCCCTTGTTCTATTTTGAACTGAGTGTTATTTCTCTGTTGAGCAGTTTCCAAAATGACAACACTTATGCGACCTTCCACAAAGAAGACAGGCGTAAATGGGGAGTAGCTCACGCAAAAATGTGCAGCACATGCCAGGAAGGCGTAGCTGTCCTTGTTTTCTTCTTTTTGTCCTTGTTACTTTCTGCACCAGCAGCTTTTTAATAACATCAAAAGACTGTGGGAGAAAAGGAAAAAATCTCTCATTTGAACATGCTGAGGGTTTTCCTGCATCCTTGCTGCTATGGTGCATCTGAAGCTGCGGCATTTGTGTTTTGCAGTGGTAGCTGGCTTCATGGTCCAGCACTAGACTGCCTGCACCCAGGTCAGGGGGATGCCCTTATTCCCTGCTCTTGTCCTGTTACCTGACCCAGTGCCTGCAGCAGAAGATGCTCACCAAGCAGGTGTCGAGGGGTGAACAACTGTGTGATTGCACACGATCGATCTGGGCGAATGTCGAGAACAGAAGAACCTGAGCCAGTTGCTTTTACAGGAACAGGCTGTGTGACAGGAGCCTTCCGTCATCCCGCACGCCCCGGGGAGGGGGCTGCTCTGTGGGCTATTTTAGGACTGAGCTCAAGAAATCATTTCAAAGTCAGTCTCATGATAACCACTCTTGATTGAGGGTGATTGGTTGGCTTGGGGTTTGTAGAGAGAACCTCTGAAGTCTCAGCAGCAGCTTCTGTAGCTGCCATTGTCAGACCCCAGAGCCTCCCCAGAGCCTCCAAATGGTGGACACAGGGGTTAGTGAGCATGTGAGGCGCGAGGCCCCCTCGATGGGAGCTGAGCTCTCTGCTACTTTATTCTTTATGCTTAAAAGCCACGGAGCAGTTGGCCTGCAGGGCCAGGTCAGCCATGGCCTGGCGTGCGTTCTGTTTCTGCACCTCTGCTCACCTTCAGCAGACCTAGAGAAGCACTTGTCCCCACCCTGGTGTGGCCTCCTATGGGTGCAGTTACTGCTGCTGTGTGAGCGGGCACCCCTGAACGTCCCAGGCCTTCCTCTTTGATGAGTAACTAAATGAAGTCCTGCTATAAGCCGATCATCAGCATCATGGAAGTGATGCCTTGAACTTATCAAAATCGCAGACCGCCTCCTTTCCTTCCTTCTCTCTTTCACTTCCCTTTCTCTCTGAGGACTCAAGACAGCAGCACGCCGCTCTCGGCCCCGTGACTGGGTTCATGGCGAGAGGGGTGGGAAAGTCGTTCTTCCTTCCATGTGGCTTGCATGTCCTGAGCGTCAGCTGCAAAAGGGACTCCTGGGAGGCCCAGGTGGGGTCGCCTAAGACCACTGTTCTCATGTCCTCAAACAATCATCTTGGCATACAGAAATTAGCATGTCCAAGAAATTATCCTAACATTGGAGCATTATTTGGCTTTTGATATTTCTGTCATTTTTGACATGATGCCTTGGGTGTCTGAAAGAATGCTTGAAAGTTGCAAGGGGGAGAGGTGTCCAGTCCCCTCTCTAAAGAGGACTCTAATGTGCCTCTCAGGGACGCAGCCTCTGCAGTGCTTTGGGCCACAGCGGCGTCCCCTCCCCGTACCTGCCCCTCGTCCCTGGCCTCAGAAGTGCAAACGGAGGAAGGTGACCATTCCTCAGGGAACCACGCATTTCCACTCAGCCTGGCCATTTCCCCTGGGTGACGTTGCTGTGTGGGTGTGGCCACCTATGGCCTGGTAGTTTGCCCAGGGAGAAAGGGGGCTGTTGTCTCCATGTCTTTGTTCTTCTGATGCTTGCGTCCATGCAACCACCTCCTCTTTGTGGCTGTCCTGAGCTCTGCTCATCTCCCAGCAACAGGGGCAGGAGCCAGCACTCAGGAGCGTTAACTAAGCACCCATGCGTGGCACTCACGAGCAGGGTGAAGCCACTGTGGCCAGCTCATGTCTCCCTTCCAGTTGTGCTGCACCTGCAGCCGTGGCCACTGATGTATGGAACGTGGAATTCATAAGCCGTTAAGAAAGATGTCACATTACAATGGCTCCTTTTGCTTAGAAAAGTAACGTTTAGATGCTGGTTTTCATACTCCCACATGGTCAGAGTGATTTAAGCTTATGTTAAGTGTAATTCATATGTTATGGGAGATTTAAGGAACTTTCTTTCTTTCTTTTTTTTCCTTTTTGTCTTTTTACTGATTGGTAACGGGATCGCAACCCTCGGTGTTGGGCCCGCACCGCGCTCAGCCAGTGAGCGGGAACCGGTCTCCACATGGGATCCGAACCCTCAGCGGGAGCGCCGCCACGCTCCCAAGCGGCGCACTCTCCAGTGCGCCACCGGGCCGACCCTTAAGGAACTTTCAAATGTAAGGTTTTGCTTTTACAAGTGGTTATGGATAATACAGGGAACAATGGCACATTTCAAGCTGCTTTGGAACATGTATGAAGCATGTGCTCTGTATGGGTCCCATGACAACTTAAAAGCAATCTCTAGGTTTTTAAAACTTACTTGCAAGTTTGAGATGAAGTGTGGGAAACATCACCCCCCGGGAGTTATTCCCTAAAAAGAAAGAAAAGATAGCAGTGGGAAAATAGTGGAGCTGTTTTTAAAAAGTGTCTGGGGCCGGCCCGGTGGCGCACTGGAGAG